GCATCCCGTGCCAATCGCTCCACCTGAAAACAACTTAATGGATCGACGAAATCCAACAACGACAATTCGCCCAAAGAATCGTTCTGCCAATATTGTGAAGACGACACAAAGTGTGAATAAGATGGAAGAGTAAAAAGCAATAGAACCATATAATTACACTAAAAGCTACAAAATCAAGACTAACATACCTTGTGCTTGAATGTGGCACTGAACATAAGACACTGACGGTCCGGTCGAATATGGTCGGAAATGGATTTCACTTGAGCCTCTGTAAATCAAGTTCACGTGTGTTTAGCTCCCGCTAGCAAACACGATATAAGGCAAAAATGCTATATAAGAGAAGAAGCATACCAAAGCCCATGTCAAACATTCTATCGGCTTCGTCAAAAACAAGGAAAGTCGTCCTCAAAAAATTTGTGGCGTCAATTTTCACCAAATCGATAATACGACCCTAAAAACTAAAGGGTCAGTGATTTTCTAAGATGATGAATGAAATGTTACTACACAACCTCCAAAAGCTCGGAATCTGATCAAAACCTACAGGGGTGCACACAACCAACTCAGCTCCTTCGTTCTTTAGCTCGTTCGATTGCTCCCATTTGCTTCCACCTCCATAAGCACAAACAACATTTATGTTGTAAATTTTGCAGAAGCGCTTGGCTTCCTGGTAGACCTTGAATATATGCATCATTCTATTACCACAATTGAGTTGAAAAACTCTTTACCTGAATGGCCAACTCTCTTGTTGGCACGACAATCAGTGCAATGGGACCTTCACCAACATCCAGATCGGGTTGATCCATGATATGCACAATAGCAGGCCACAAGTAAGCCGCAGTCTTACCACTACCAGTCTTTGCTATGCCAAGCACATCGCGTCCGCTCAGGGCAGCTGGGATGGCCTACAGCAAGCAAATGTAACACTTTCAGTAAAAACAAATTAAGAAATCAAACGACCTGTGCCTGGATTGGGGTTGGATGTTCATACTCGCTTTTGCGAATTGCCTCCATCAGCTGCTTGTCAAAACCAAAATGTGCAAAAGAGCAGACAGGTTTTGGTGGATGAAAGCCGCCTACGCGAATTCCGAGTTGTTCACGAAGTTTAACCATTTCAACATGATTAAGCTTCCTGGAAATAAGCATTTAAACAAAAAACCTCAAAATTTCCTCAAAATTCGATCTAAAAATCTAGGTGAAATCATTCATGTATAACTCGACTAAAACAAGTCCAATCAACAGAAAACATACTTGATTTCGTCATGCTCCACATAGAAATTCTTAGTAAACTCTGGAT